CGCCCCCTGCCACAGCCTGCAGCGGGAGCACAAGCAGTGAGGAGTTACGCAGAGGGCTCAGACATCCAATGGCTTCTGGAAACTTGATTTGGGCAGGTGGCTCGTCCCAGAGGGTTGGGGAGGTTGGAGGCCGAGCCCTGCCATTCAAGCGGCATTAGTGTGCTGGGGCAGAGAGATGCTGTTCTCGTGATCGAAATGGTTGCCAAATCTCGGGCAGTGTGTTTAAGACACCCTCCACCGAGCAGCTCTGCTTTGAGCTGTCTTGCAGGCAGATCCCTTTTCCTTCAGCATCCTCATTCCCAATCCGTGCTCCGCTGACAGCCTGGGCCTGGTGAAGGCGTCACGGAGTAGGAGGAAAGTGGAGCACCGTGCTGTGGGCTGTGGCTGTCACGAGGACCTTCTCGAGGAAGCCTCGCTGTGTGGCTCCTTTCTGCCTTCAGCCTATAATAATCCAGCCTGGGGGTGCTCTCCCAGTCCCCCCAAAACTTAGTGATTTGGGGCTTGGGAGAAAAGGGATTTGCAAGGGGTATATAAAGAAGAGGTGACTTTTTTTTCACTGTGCCAGTATTGATGGAGATATTTAGGAGTCCCCGATTTCAGTGAAACTATTACTTGAACATCCATCAACAGTCTCTGCTCCACCACTTTCCATGTCACATACCTGTTTCAGCGTCCGGTCCCAGGGGTCATCACAGCATCCTTGGTAAAGCTTTAGCTCTTCCTCATCAGCTTCTGTCACCACGCTGACGGGTACAACCCCAGCAGGGAAGTCCAAGACATTGTACAGCATCGTGGAGGAGATGGCAGCTGAGAGATGCAGAAGAGAGAATGTAGGTAGTCACACCCTCCTTCACACTTATACATTACATGTAAGCCCCTGAGAACCAGCTGCTGCTGGGAGGAGAGAGTGCACAGGGCTGGTCATCTGCAGGTCCAAGTTCTACTGCAAGAAACAACTGCCATCAGATCACTTCATCCCCGGGTCTGTCTCCATCTGCTCAGATACCTTTATGGTAGTTATTTTTCCTTCCCACTGCCATAAAATGTTTAGGTGGGTGGTGACGCTCCACGGTAGCAGATGTTTCTGTCCAATCTCAACCACTGTGGTCCTCTGCCCTCCCGGGAAGGTCCCAAACTCACTTACTGAGGAGTTTCCCAGGGTATCCCGTGGTGAAGGCAGGCCCCAGGACAGGGCACAGCATGACATCCAGCTGGAGTTCCCTCCACCGGGCAATGAACTCGGTGCGGTATGCCTTGGGGAAGAGAGGGGAGATGACATGGAGGCCATGTCCATGCCTGGAGCGTCTCGGCTTCTCCAGGGTATGTGCCAGGCTCTGGCATGGCCAAGGAGGCAGCAGCGGGCAGCTGTGCTCATGGAAAGAGGCAGGAGAATGCGTGTCTTCCTCCACGCCACGTGGCCAGACTGTGACTGGGAATTGGAAACGTCCCTCTTTAGCCATCCCCACTCCCAAGACAGCCTTCATTGTGCTGGGACTGTTGAGTGTGGGCATTTGGACATGAGCACTGTGGGCAATCCATAAAGTCCTGGCTGAGTTGACCCAAAAGCCCATCTGCTCCATTTCTCACTCTCTTTTGTGCCTTTTCCTCCGTCTTCTCTCCTCCCCAGCACCCCCCTGCACAATCCCTTTCCTAACTGATGACCCTCCAACCTGGCACTTGCCATAAGGCCTCAACTCATAGCACGCTGCCAGAGAGAAAAGTCCTCAAAACACACCTCTATTTCATGGTGATGATTCCACATCTCCTTCACTGACCTGCAAGTGGAAATCATAGCAACACTTTTAAGCTTTAAGAGGAGAAGGAATCGCTTAAGTAATCCCCCAGTTTGATAAACACCAGTGATTTTAGCAATCATTTAAAACAATACTTCTTCCCAATTTCTCTAAAGCTTCCTTTGGCATTTGGCCAAGCAGTTAAGCACCAAATGTCTGGAAGTGGTAGAGAGAAGGTTTCTCTTGTGAGCCTGGATTTAGTACTCATCTCTGCCACGGACTTCCTGTATGACCTTATCCATCCAAGTCCCTCAATCCTTTCAGGATAACACTAGGGGCAGTGCAACACTGGGGAGATGTGTTCCTAAAGGTTGAAGCGGTACCCAGGATGGAGGGACAGCCCTTGCAGAGATCAAGTCGGAGCCTGTCGTGAATCCTGTCCCCCTCAACCCCACCATGGACACTTAGAGAAGGTACTGTTCATTTTCATAGACATCCCTGGGCATGATGCCATCCTACCTCATTCCAGCCAAGGCGCTGAGGTAGTCAGCCAGGCGGGGAAACTGGAAAGGCAAGAGGGATCGTGAGGGACATGACATGGGGGTGCAGTAACTTGTGCCATCCCAGGAAAACGCCGGTCCCGTGCTGCCTCCGTCCCTGGGGATGCTGCACTGAGCGTGAATGATGATGATTAAAAATGCTCCTCATGGATTTGAGTTTACTTTGCTTCCAAATTCTGGTTGTTGGTTCCAAATTTGTTTCTTAGAGCCCAATATTTCCTGCTCACAGAGGAATGTGCTGATCTTAACCAAGTCACCTTTCATTATTTTTGATAAATCAAACATATTTTCTTTTTAGCTTGGTATCTCACAGAACCGTATGTGCTCTGCAAGCACTTTGATTGTCTCCCACTTACTGCTACCTTTTTTTTGATCCTGTCAGCTGAGAACACCCCAGCTGGACAGAGAGGCAGAGAAAATGGAGGATGGAAGAGAGAAGCCCTATGAAAGGATGCTCAGCTGGTGAAAGAGCAACAGTGTGGACCAGTCCTTATTAATCACCGGGAGTCCTCATTAAGGGGTGATCTTTGGGAGGCCTCCAACACAGGGACAGACCTTCAACCTGGAGTACCTCCACTGCTGTAATCCCAATGCATGAACCTGTAGGAAACTGGGCACTGCTAGGTCTAGCATTTGAAGAACCACTTGCTGTGGGCTCCGCGTTAATCTTTTACAGCTCTTGGCTGGTCCTTCTCTCATTTCCCTTTGCATGTGATAAATCCCAGCAGAGGTCTAGAAAAGACCTTCCAAAGTGATAACATGTGCCTTCACCTGAGATCCTAGGGTTTCTAGTTAAAGGTGTCTCTCAGTACCATCATGCTTTCAGGCATCTCAAGGCCCTGCTGACACCACTCTGCTTTGAGCCTGCGGCCAGGGACTCACCAGAGGCTTCAGAATCAGAGCCAGCAGCTTCTTCCCCAGCCTTGGGATCTTGCAGCAATTCACCTGTGATTTCAAGCTTGGATCTACAATATCTGCTGTGCTGAGAGACGACAAGAGGAGGGGATCATGCCAGAGATGCTGTTTGCCCTTTCTCAGAAACCTAAGTATCTTCTGTTTGGGGTGGGAGAGATGGGCTTGGTTTGCCCATGCGTTGTGCTCAGGGGTGTGGGGACGGAGGCGTTTTACAGCACTGATGCCAGAGGGCTCCTACTTACAACACGTCCAACCAAGCACGGCCTCCATCAGCAAAAAACGTCTTCAAAAACAGTTCAGTCATGACATAGTGGATCCGAGGTGGAGAAAAGGGCACCAGCTGCACCAAAACACAGGATTATGTGGCCGCCTGGGGATATGAATAATTCCCAAGGCCCAACTGTGGATATACTTCAAAGGCAGAGCAGCACATCCCTGGGCTCCACATG